AACACCACAGATCAGGGAGTCGCTGAGATATTGTCATAATATAGAAAAGAACTTGGAACAACTGATCTTCTCAATCCCCCTGGACGGGATACGCATCCTGCGCAAGGGGCCGAAGCTGGTGGTGGGGGACTGGGTAAAAATTCACGGGGACCCAGAGAGCGTGGGGAGCATTGTAGAGGCACGCGAAGACGAAACGCTGATCAATCTCTTCCACAAATGGGAAAACAATAAATTAACTAGATACACCCCAGATGTGACGAGATGGTGGTGGAAAACTGATCTGCACAGAATCCGGGTGCTACAAGATATGGCGATGGTGGGACAAAATCTGGAGACTGCTGGAGACTGATTCAACCTGGCCATGGGACTGGAGGGCAATCCTGTGTGAAACATGGACCTCCCCCTCGGGCAATGCTTTTGAAAACAATATGTTTAAGATGGGGAGGAGGGCAGTTGTGTGGGCGATCTGGAGAAGAAGGTGTATACATGCCCTCGAGGGAGTCCGCATAGCTGGGGAGGAAATGACTGTCATGATCAAACAATATATTCATCAAGAAATTATGGCGCAATGGCAGAAAGTTAAAAATCAACTAGACCTGTTCCAGACGTATAAAGATATAAAACAAGCGATTCAACGTTTCTCAGGGGACTGGCTGGGAGGTGAGAGTGGAGGCCGGATAACTTTCGTAAAGTGGGACGGAGGCTGCGCCCAAGGGAGCACGGCGGACAACCAAGACGGTAACAGGGACATGGTGAAGAGAGATTATCAGATCTGCTTTAGAGATTGGACAACAGTGGGCCAAGAGGTCCCGCTTCGGCCGCCCTCGGATTTCCACGACCCTTTCCCGCCTCATCGATTGGCTATGGTGGATATGCAATGGTATGGGAAGGAATAAACAGGAGGATAAGTGGTTGGCAGGACAAGACGACATCAATGCTGGCAGGCCCATGCTTCCGTCTTATTTTGTACATGGGATGCTGGGGCCATTTTTCATTAAAAAAAAAACTGTGTGTGACAGAGTGAGCAAGTTGTGTCTGGTTCTGACAGGGTATTGGGTCAAGGCACACATATAGTCAAATAAGGGGGCTGCTGAGACAGGGCTGGGTCACCAGATAAGGGGTGCTCCTCAGAAGGGATGGGTGATATTAGCAGCTCCACGGGATATTGGAGGCCCGAGTTTGAATTGACCACAGCCCCGGGGAACAACAAACAGCAAGCTCTGTATTGTACGATGTATCAAAGGGACGCTGGACCCGGTTTCCAGCAGGTGCTGCTCCCCACCAATAGATGGAGCCTCCCCGACGGTGCTAGATGTGTCTGCTCTTATCAGCACACCTAGCATCCGATCGGGTT